TGTATGTGATGTGTATGTAGCTCACTATTTCTTTTCTGAAGGCTATTTTCATGAAATCTGGCAGATACAGCTGTTTTATATAAAATCGCCATTCGATGTGCACCAATTTCTTTGGAGCAAGAACGTTTATATTAACGGGGCACCGACGAATGACGCATAACTCTTAAGTACCGATTTAATTCCATGGAACCACCAGTCGCCCAGCTATTCAAGAATTTGCTAACATTTTATGTAACCCGAAGGTTCATTACCTTATTAGCAAGATACTGCCACTGTGTCTAATCTGAGCCAGATGAAACCAGTCCATAACCTCCCCGGTCCATATAAATATTGTCATCTGTAGGGTGTTACGCGTGACAAAATAACGGGTTCTAATTCGGATTGGACTTATTACAACTTAAGTTAAAAGTTTTCTTAATTACCATTAATACAGCGCTATCGCTGATTTGCACACTTTCCAGTCCACCGCAGCACATGCACTAAGATTCTAAGTTTCCACTAGTCGTCTCCTAGCAATGGATCTCAACAGAGAAATTAGCACTTCAAATCACCACGAAGTCTTCTTGCTATTTCGTCTTCAATCACTTTGGAACCTCGGAACTAAAAATTCTTCTGGACTTACTCCTCCTTCTTACGACTGTATTCACTTCTCTTATAAGCATTCTGCACAGGCCCCATGGAAAACACCGCTCTATTGATGATGACGTCACCGCTTATGCGGAAGTATGTTTACCTAGCCGTTGCTTAAAAACGGGTTGCATAACTCTGTTGTTCCACCGCTGATCCGCGCGGACGACATAGAAAAAACAGCCTCATCTACTGCTGTGTGCTGGACCGTATTTACAGAACTGTTGCCTGGTAACGAGTTTATCAAATCCGTTACAATATTATCCTCCAACCTACTTCTAGTTTTTCCTAGTAGTCTCTTTCCTTCTGGCTTTCCCATCAAAATCCAGTACATTCGTCATCCATACATGCTACATGCCCTGCTCATCTCATATCTATTTACTTTATCGTTCTTCTTACTGTTGGCCAGAAATAAAAGTTATGAAGCTCCTCATTATGCAGTTCTCTTTAGCCTTCTATTATGTCCTCCCTCTTGGGTCCAAATATTCTCCTCAGTATTTGAGTACCCGGGATAGAGCAGTTGGTATAGCGAGTAGCTACGGGCTGGAGGGGTCGGAGTTCGAATTCCTGTAGGAGCAAGATTTTCCTCCTCTCCGCGTCGTCCAGACTGGTTCTGAGGCCCAAACTCCCACCTATCCAGTGGGTATCGGTGGATATTTCCCGGGGGTTAAGCGGCCAGGGCGTGAACCTGACTACTCGCCTCCAACTAATGCAGGTGTCGGTGCCAAGAATACGCGGACTATACAGCCACTCACTCACACATCTTCATGGCGTAGTGCTTAATTAGTTAAGATCGGCGACAAATTTACTTTCACATAAAAAATCCGCACGTTCAGGCGCTAGAGAGGCGCACATCCATTCATGTACACAGAGACGGCATTCCAGAAACTAATTTTTGCATTTTCCGAGGGGGGGGGCTCGAAACGTGTAAAGTAGTCAAAATCCCTGACAGATTTTTGTCGCGATCCAAGTACTAGAACTCCTGAGTACTACGCATATGGGGAAGTAGAAAACATGGGGAATGAGAGTCATGCACACGCTGCTCTTTTCTATTTAAAATCTGAGAAAATGTCGACGAAAACAAGAGTTACACGTTTACTACTTTCCTGTCACAAGCCAGTCCTTTCGGATGACATCGTACTTTGATATTTATTGCAGATTTCTCAATCTCGCCCCATCATATGCGGCGATTTTATGCCATCTTTAAACGCTGTTTATATGGCGCTGCAAACATGATTACAAATTGTAATCACTTGCAGTAAGTGAATAGTTTAGTTTTTAGTTTCTTTGGTTGGGGTGAGACTCAGTCCACCTGGTACGTCGGCCACTAATTGGCCTATTGTACCAGCCCCGGATGATATATGATGATGAATGTGGAGCAGTCAGTGGAATGAGAATTTGCAGGGGAAACTGAAGTACTCGGAGGAAACCTGCCCCAGTGAAACTTTGTTTACAACAAATTCTAATGACCTGAACTGGGCTCGAACCCGGGCCACAGCGGTGGGAAGCCGGTCAGTAACCGCCTGGGCTGTGGCACGGCCATCTCATACCATAAGAGTCGATGTGTATTTTTCTGCTGTTGCAGACAGAGGCAAAAGAAAACATCAAACTGCCTCAGTTTACAGTAGTAAAAAAGGTACTTCACAGATGAGGACAATAATTAACTGCTAAATCACGTTTAAAATCATACCTGTAAGATGCACTTTTATTCACACGACTGAGCCTCTGACTCAAAACGTTTGGGACCTACTGCTATTGACTAACAATCAGCAGCTCTAAGAAACGGAAAACGAATAACCTCCGTGCTTCAATATAGCGTTCTCCAACTATATTTCAAATGGTGTGTAGTTTTGGTATTGATTGTACTTGGCCTGGTGATTTTCCAGGAATAATTACGTTACGTACTCATACTAAAACAAAAGCAACAAAAAAAAGTTGAAGAGAAATCTTCATGACTGTAGGCAGAACTAATAAAGGAAACTCTCTTACTGGGTTCTGTTTCTTTTTAATCGTTCTTCTCTTTTTTTTACATGACTTCCGAAAAGTTTGCGAAATTGCAGCCATTACACGCTGTACATATGTACATGAGAGACACTGCATTGTGTTAACGATGAACTGAAAAAGATAGAACCTTGCGTGTTTCCCGGTTGCTTGAGCACAGCAGCGCTATCTACTCGCAGTACTGAGAGTACAAATACGCGTTTCGTTTACGGAAACAAGAACTGTAAAATTTGTAGTTTCATATGCGGTTTTCAAACTCGGCTATTTTATTATAATTAAGGCAAAATTTACATTAAAATGTCAGAATACGCCGATATTGTTAGCAAAGTACGAATATTTGTCGCTTTTGCATGCGTCCAATTCTTGCCACACCCCAATGAACATTTGGAGTCACAGAATTAAAACGTCTTCGCTTAAAAGTCCAGTGGTGTCCTTTGTGACCATGACAAAGAATCTGTTATATGAAAAAGAATATCTTCACAAGATGAGAAACTACAAAGAGTTAAAAGAAGACGCCGCACCAAAAACCCTGTTCGGTAGAGTAGGTTTGGGTTGGTACAGATTGAAACGAATAAGAGTTACGTTGGATATGGTAGGGCTCGGTATGATTGTGTTTGTTTGATTTAGAACCTCTCCTATCCTCCAGACTAAACTTCCTTCCAAGCATCGTTTAATTTACTACATAAAAATTTAAGCCGATTACAGCGGCCGTTCGTCATAAGACAAGAAATATCTTCGCCCGTTTGAACACTTGATTCTTGGGATCGAATCCCACTCGAGGCACAGCCGTATATTTTGTTGTTTTTTTTTTACTCCGTGCTGTGTTACGTAGACAGAAGCCTTGCGACGGGCTGATACCTCGACCAAGAAGTGCTACCAACTGTCTGAAAGATTCATGGTTTCAGATTCCTTCTGAATTGGAAGAGGGTCTAATTCGTCATAAGAAGAAATACATTCTATCGGAGGCATTTGCCTGAGCCTACACTGTCTACCAGGCGATAAGTTTCAACCGAAGTGTTCGCCAAATGATAAATATTTCACTTCCGTAAACTGCGAAAGAAATTAGAAATCTCATAATAACCCCTTAAGCCAGAGTCCGAATGCCGCATTAAAGAGCAGAATATAATTTATTTTGTTCAAAGCCTTCCAAGAAAACCGTACAACCTTCAAACTTTAATTTCAAGGTATTTTCCGACTGACAAAATTCTGTCATCCCGTGGGTTTCTTTCCCGCTTCTCCGTCTTCGGTTTGCCTCACTTATGTTTTATGGTGCATAAGGCGATCACTATGTAACGACAGAAAGTTGGTGAACGGGAATATATATTCATAAGATTACCATAATTAGCAAGCAAGTTATTCCATTATTTAAGTAGGCATACAAAAACGAACTCCGCGGCTTTAGTCTGCATTCGAACTATACCGACCGAGCGACCGCCCTTGCCGGTGAAGTTAGTGCCAACTTTAGCGGATATAGGTTGTCGCGTGGTCGGCGCAACGAACCCCCACTTAAAAAGAACGGAGGATTTTGCCAGCATTTATAAGTACAGACTTAAAAGGAAAGATGTATGATTCTTTAAGAACTTATCAAGCTCCGTTATTTTACTTAATTACGGAGTTCGTGGATTACAGCAGTCTGAAATGCAGTAGTGTGAATGCAGAGTTTCGTAGCGTTTGATGAAAAATGTTAAAACGATAAAACATACATATACACGCGCGTGTGTGTGTGTGTGTGTGTATATATATATACTCTAATTCTTGCAGGCCACTTCGAAAATATAAAATGGGGGGTTAATTTATGGAAAATTGATTTAAAAATACTAGCACAATGAGCTATTTTACCTGTTGTTTATTTTTTTTCCCACCTTGGCACTACAGCCCCAGTGGGCCTAGGCGTACCTCCATGAACTTCTCCGTTCACACCTGTTGTTTATACTGGTATAAAACTTGGCGTTATATACTAAGGGAAGGGAAATTGTAATGTGAGTGCAAACAGGGTGCCGAAAAAAACCGGACCTAATAATAAAGAAGTAACGGACGGTGGGAGAAAATTACATAATGAGGAGCTCCATAATTTGTATTATTCACTAAATACCGTTAGGGTTATAAAATTATAGATTAAATGGGTGAAATATACAGCAAGCATGGGAAAGACAAGAACTACAATATTTTGTAGCAAAACCAACGAAAAGACTTAAGAAACTTGGGCGTACATGATATAATAATATTAAAATCGACCTTAGGGAGATAGGATGTCTGGCTTTCTGTTAACACGGTAATGAACTTTTTGAGTTCCATAAAAGACAAGAAAACTCATAACTATTTGCTTCTCAAGGACTCTGCCCATGAGATAGATAGATAAAGACAAGACTTACCCATCACCGTGACATTAATCGTGTGCCAAAGCTCGTCTGTGTCATTTCTTACGAGACACGTGTAGTTTCCTGCGTCGGATTCGACCACTGACTTGGAGTAGATGGTTTGGTTCGCTGACTCTGGATACAAGATGAAACCGGACACTTCTCCAGGCCATGGGTACGGTCTTCCATTTTTGTACCTGTATCAGACACAAATGTTGGTCAATTACGATTACCTGGTCTCTCACCTCTCAAATGACGACATATTTTCTAGACTAGGTTTCCGAATTCACTTGAAACAAACAAAATCAAAGTACGAGAGAAGAAATGGTGACGGAAAGATAGCATGAGACAGAAATGAAGGGAAGAAAAGGAAATGCAATTATAGAATGGGGAGACGGGAAATGAAGGAAAATCCAATAAATAAAAAGGTGGGACAAATGCACCCATGGAGTGAAATCAAAAAGGTGAGTTTCGTTTATGAATGGTGTACGTGTATATGCAGTAGGCTGCAGTGAGCATACGGATAGCTACATGAGGGCGACAGCTGAAAGACAATGCTTTCGATGGCGCACACTCAGTGTTCATTATTCTCTCGAAATCGGTGTTTTTATGTAAACACTATATAGGACGCAGTGTAAGGGTAGGTATCCTGAAGATATTCATTCATTCATCAGTAATCTGTCAGATGACAGGTCCACAGCCTCTTCCAAAACAGTTTCTCCACTTAATGCGATCTACTGTTTTTGGAAAGATACTATCCAGGAATAGTGAAAATGTGGTAGTTTTTCCATTTGCTTTCCACATCGCAGTACAACAGCCGTTCAAACCACTCTGGTCACGCCTGTTGCTATACGAACTTGAACCATCTCGAGCATCATTTTCTCTGTGCTTCAAGTCGCCGCTGATGACGCTGCTTCCGGCATCAGTTTTCGGTGTCTCTCTTCGTCTGATGCCTACCCTTTGACCTGTCCAGCAAGGGAGGCCCTGCCAGTAGCTACGCTACCGCTGGTATAGCTCTCAGGGTCCTTGGCATACTCAAACACCCTCACCACGATAAGGTGGAGACACCAACGAGAGATCTACTGCTTTTAAAACAGCGAGTCACGTAACATAAAACATAACAAAATTTCAGTGGGAAGCTCCTGTGATTACCAGCGCCATATCTGGATACACTCTACTCTTTGTTGTGATACTACAATAACCCTTGAGAAGCATTCTCAAATCATAATTCCACCAAGTATGTACTCTATGAACTTCAAATGTTCTGGAAAGACAGCAGCTGTACTGACACAATGAATTCGAAAGAGAACAACAGGCGCCAAATGGTGCTGCTACCTATGTCTATGGACATCTTCAGGCAAAGACATACAAACAGAGCATGTCTTCCACTTCCGTTTGTTGTTGCCATCCTCTGCTCCTGTTCATAACCATGTGCTAACACATACAACGACAGAATATCAAGCGTTGGTCTTTTACACATTATACGGATATCTTGTGAGATGGAATTTATAATGATCTGAGGTGACTGTTACAAACGCATACAAGTATAGCATGTCGAAGTCTCGTCCATATCCGTCAAAGAATTCAAACATATCTATATATAAAAGATTTCTGTAGACCCATAAACAAACAAGGGTGCACCCTACAGGCCCATTTGACGAAATTCCCGGGGGAAATAATGTATGGATATATGTAATGTAATATATCTACTGCCGGTCACGGTAGCCCAGCGGTCTAAGGCATGTACTGTCTTCGCTCGCTTGCAAACCGGGAACGTGGGTTCGAATCCCACTCAGGGCATGGATGTTTAGTTTGTGTGTGTGCGTTTTTCTGTTTGTGTATAGGTAGAGGCCTTGCGACGAGCTGATCACCCTCCCAAGGAGTCCTACCGAATGTGTAAGATCTAGAAAAACCGAAGTGAACGGAGAAGTCAATAGAGACAGGCCTAGGCGCACATGCGGCTGTAGTGCCAAGGAAAAAAAAAGTTGTCCCTGTGCTTAACTAATTAAGCACTAACCCATGAAGACGTACGGGGGAGTGGATATTATAGTTAGTTTTTCCTTTGGCGCTACAGCCCAAATTTGGGCCTTGGTCTACCTCCATGAAACTCTCCATTTCACTTCGGTTTACTCTTAAGGCATTCGTTAGGACTCCTTGGGCGGATGGTCAGCTCGTCACAAGGCTTCTACCTGTATACAAACACAGAAATACGCGCGCAGGCACCAGCGACTAACCGCTTGAGCTATGGCGCGGCCCCCATGACTCTCTTGGTCTTCGATCTTTATTTACTACAGACCCAAATCTATTGTTTCAAAGTAAGTGAACACTAGGCCTATAGGCAACACACTAAATAACCGTGAATTCTGTTGTTAGGAAAACCAATAGTTTTCTGTGAGTAGTCGATCGATATTGGCCTAATGAAGGAATTTTCTGTTACGAGACACTACTGTTTATCTTCACCATCAACACGAAGTTCACAATGGGATTTCCACCTTCAGCCAATTCAATCCTGATCCAAGCCCACTTCTTTCAGTCCATTTTAACATATCGTGCCATCTACTCCTCTATCCCGGGTGTCCTCTTCGCTAGAGCTGTCAACAGCGTTTGGAGATAAAAAGCAGAGAGGGAACTCAGGCTGTACGAGGACTATCAGCCTAAAACAAAGCCACAGTTCTTATTTGTGAGCTGCAACTGTTCGTTTCTCCACGCTCGACAGCCCTTCACCCTTTCCTTTCCCCTCGATAAGCAGCCTGGTTATTATTACTCAGGCATGGTAGAACGAATGTTATATTTTAGCGTCCTGTTGCACTGATTTAAGTCCATGATTTATTTCAACCGTCTTCCAGTGCATACACTCATCTATCTCACTCCTCTCTCTCGCACTACATGTTTCGGCACAAAAGTGCCATCTTCAGGTGCTTATTCGATTTACGATAAACTAGTTCATTGCATGCCTTGCCGTCTTCATATTAAAATAACTAAAATATATATTTATCATATATATTGATAAATATTAAATATTAAAAATATTAAAATTGTTCAGGATTTTTCATCCCTACGTCGTATCTCACTACGCGAGTCACACCTATCCTCTTCTGTCGCAGCACTCTTTCTACTTTCGTGTGTGTATTGTGCTCTGTGTTGTGTCTTGCTCCTGTGACTGCGTGTGTTATACTGCTGGGCCTGCATACCCAGCAGGTATGCAGGCTTCGGTTTCCCCTGCCAATCTTCATTCCGCGAATTGCTCCACAGTCACCCTCATCTACCATCTGGAGCTCGTGCAATAAGCCAGTAATGGCCGCAGTGCCAAGTGGACTCAGTCACACACCACTGAGGAGGAAAAAGAAGGAAATTATTTATGCTTTGCGATCATTAAGCGGTCAGCGGGTGTGTGTGTTCCCCAGTGAACTTCATAATCATCTGGCCGATATTCATGAAGTTTAGTAGGGATGTTACGTCTGCCGTTAGGGGTCACCCCAACCTCAAACTTCTATATTTTCCTACAACTGCTAATTATGGCAGACACTAGCGTCACGTAATATGGAGCCTGAATTATTTACAGAAATAGAACTCTGAACAGCCTCAGTTCTTTGAGGCAATATTTTACGGAACAGAATGAAGAAAATGGCAACTGCATAAAATCTACATTTTCTTCCATGTTTGATATTTATTGGCGAGTTATAAATTTGTATTGGCTTCACAAGACATTAACAGTGGATTTATAGGACTCGCTGTCTGCAGTGATTTGAGATAAGTGTTTGGTTAGTGGGGACTGAATGATACCATTAAACTGTAATTACGAGGGTAAGTCAATAAGTAAGTTACAAATGGATATAGAACTTAAATAAATAAGAGTACTGATTTGAAAAATGTTTTATTTCTCAACGTAATCTCCCTGTACATTGAGGCACTTGTCCAATCGGTTCACAAGCCCCTGAAAACCAGCAGCATAAAATTCTTTGGGCTGCTGTCGGAACCAGGCGTGTTCACACGGCATGGCCTACCTCATAATGCATGACAGGTTAGGTTTTCACAAAGTCTGTGCACGATGGGTGCCGCGCATGCTGACACCACAACACAAAACGCAAAGAATGGGTCTGGCATTACAGCATCTCAATCGCTACCACGATGAAGGACATGATATGCTAGCCCAAATTGTCACAGGTGATGAATCTTGGGTTCACCATTACCAGCCCGAGACAAAGCGTGCGTCAATGAAGTGGAAACATCCTGCGTCGTCTGCCCCAAAAAAAAAAAGTTTAAGGTGACACCATCCTCCAGGAAAGCGATGCTCACAGTCCTCTGGGATCACGAAGGCATACTGTTCACCGCATTCCAGCAAGGACAAACCGTAAATGCCGACTCCTACTGTAACATCCTCAGGAAAGTTCCTAAGTCCATTCAACTGAAGCATGCAACCCGTCATGCATTATGAGGTAGGCCATACCGTGCGAACACGCCTGGTTCCTACAGCAGCCCAAAGAATTTTATGCTGCTGGTTTTCAGGGCTTGTTGAATGATGGGACAAGTGCCTCAATGTACAGGGAGATTATGTTGAGAAATAAAAGCATTTTTCAAATCAGTACTCTTATTTGTTTAAGTTCTATATCCATTTGTAACTTACTTATTGACTTACCTACGTATTAATGTAGAATCCTCGATTGTCCTTTAAAGGTTTAAACACTTGAATAAAACGTGTCATGAAGCATTTAGCAAAATTATGTGCTGTAAGATGAGATGTATATGTAAAAAATTCATTGTTGTACAATTTGAGCTTCAGTAAACAGGAGTTAGGACAGAAATCAACATTAAATTCATCTAACAACCTTCAATTTCGGTCATCCAATACAAAATTTCATATGGTGTTAACCAGATTTGAAAATGAAACGTGTGGACAGAAACACATGACCTCACACACATGTTCTCATTTTATACACTGTCAGTAAGGAATGTAAGAAATTTATTATGTTTCCACTATAGACTGCGCGGCATCTGCATCCAGTGCAGTATTTTGCAACGGTGTGTAGTCTTTTGTAACTGTCTGGTTGATTTTCAATTTTAACAAAAGAGTATATCATTATAAAGCAAACAATAGAAGCACAAACAGTTTCCTACATCACTCAACATGTAATATCATTCGTGCTTTAGTGGGGTTTAGTTACGAGAAGGAAAAATAGCTTTTCATATAAAAACAATT